ATTGTAAAATAATTTTTTTATGTGTTTCACACCGTGTGAAAAATCAGTCGTGTAACATCGACGGTCGCTCCTGTAGTTCGTACCAGGACCAGAGAGCGATATCATGTGATCACCTATCATGGCCAAAGCTTCAATAATGGCAGGTTTGCTGACTGTTGCCAGATCTACATAGTCTACATCTTGTCCGACAACCATTCCCCAAAAAACGGTTTTTTATCATAATAACGATGTATAACTGTAGTGTTTTGAAGATACTAACTTACAATCCAGGTAAATTTAGGTCGTTTTCTCAAGCAATAACATACTGAAAAAATATTCCTCCAATTGTAAAGGTTAAAAAATGGAAGCAAAATGATGTCATTAAATATTTATGATCCATAAAAAATGAATTAGACCTTAAAGATAAATACATTGATATTATTGAAGAACAAGATATTTTGGGTCCAGAGCTCCTCAAGTTAACTGGAAAAAAACTTGAAACATTAGGAATGCCAGTTGGACCTGCAATGAGGATTGTAGATCATATGCAAAAGCTCAGTATACAATTAAAGCCGTTTTCAAGTTATGCATCTAAAGATGACATGAAATATGTCTTAAGCAAATATGGAATCACTGATTTATATAAAATACTATGTTTCAAACCAGGTAATCTTGTAATAGAAATCTTGAGTTTAGGAACTTAACAAGACTAACTTTTTTTTTACTAGAAATGGTGGAAATCGAGAATGACGACATAAATTTACAAAGATGCTTAAATTATATTAAAATTATGATAGATAATATGGGCCCTTTAATAGGTTGTAATGAAGCTATACATTCTAGATATATTGATATAATATTACAGAATTCTCTGTATACTTTACTGAATCTTTGATTTTTTAAAAATATTGTTACAATAAAGTTAACATAAATATAATTAATATATAATTAATATATTATCAATATATTGTAATAATATAATTAAATATTTGAGTTATTTTAAATTATAAATATGATAATTTATTTTTATTATATATTATTTATATTATTAATATATAATTATTATATTTTATAAATATTTTTAATATATATTAAATA